ACAGTTTATACAAGCTACCATATTGTTTGAATCATGACGGAGAAGCCAATTAAAATCTGACACATTCATAGTTGAATTTATATGAACTGTTCGTAAAGCAGTATCTTATTTTTTTTCCACATAAAAATCAGCTAGGCATGCATAAGCTTCTGTACATACGTGAAATAAATAATAAAGTAGTTGAAATGCATCATACCAAGATTACATTTTTATTACTGTGAAATGTGGATGTGAAAGCACTTTGCTTTTAAAAGATGCTCTAACACTTTTGGGCATGGAGGACGGAGTCAGGAACTTTCAATTTGTAATCCATGACCTTCTGTTTCCCTAAAGTATATGTACAATATGATGAAGACGCCCACTATTAGCTACTCTTCAAAAGTAGCAAGATAAGAAACCGTCCGATAATGTGTGTTGATTTCCACCAATCAAAATATGATGCAAAGAAAATAGCCTAAGAGTAAAGACTAATCACTGTTTGCTTTGACTCTGAACGTGTCTCAGAGTAATTTATTCTTAAAAGAAAGTACTACAGTACCTGTATGCGAGAAATGGTTTTCTAGTTTTCTTGAGCTGAACTACAAACTGAAAGCTTCCTCCATTATCGCCCTGGCAAATGAATGCTTCTGTTTTTATTTCACCTGTGCCTTTGAACAAAAAAAAAAAAAATCTAGAACTGGACAAAGCAGTCAGTTGACGTGAAGCAACCTGGATCGAGTTATTTTCAGTCTAAGCAAACTTCACCACAGAAGAGCCAGTGAAAAACTTCAAACTTTCACATCTGCCTTTTTCCAATCAGGCAAGGCACAATGCCTCAGTCGATTATGTCGCAACAACCTTCCTTTCTGAACGTGTTACTGAGTGAAGGGAACCTAAAGGAGGTTTTAACGTCGGTTATCGCTCTCTATGATCCTGGTGTTAAAAGCATCACAGGTTTCACCCCTCTTAACTGCTAAATATATATATATCTTTTTTTGTTTTTTGTTGTTGTCCGGGCATTCAGATTCTTTTAAAATGTATATATATTTTTTAATGCATAGCTGCTTCTGCTGGCTGTATTTCATTGTGCTTAGTTACAATTTGACGACCAGACACAGATTGTTTTAATGATCATTTCTAATGTAAGACAATATATAAAGATGGTATCAATTATTTTATTTCTACAGTTATCCTAAACCAAACAAAATGAACCCTTTAGCGACCAGAGTTTCATAAAGCCCGCCTGCATTGATTTTATGGCTGCAAACTTTTCAAAAGTGTGCAATGAGTAAGTTCTCCTGTTGCTTTTTCCAATATAATTTTCAGTATCAGTAACTTGTTTTTTTTTTTTTTTTTTTCCACTACGGAAAAACAGATAAAAAGGCAAAACCACCAACATGTGCAACATCCCATCTGACAGGATGGTCATAAGGGGGTTGATATATTCAGTTTTACAAAAGTCCAACTTTTATTTATTTATTTATTTTTGACTAATGAAAATTTTCTAGAAGAACCAGGGAACAAGCCCAGCCACTTCCCTGAGGTGTTACGGTTTAATGAGGCCTCTGAACACTTTGGTATTATAATCACAAATCAGGCAAAATTATGCATTTTTAATCGAATGCTTCGCCAACACAGTAATTATTTAAAACATTGTCCAAAACACAAACAGACCTCTTAGAAATAATTGCGTCTTCATGTATTTTGCAACAGTTATGTGTCTGACTATTTTATCAACTTTGTTCACTTTGGTCATTATTATAAAAAACAACCCTGCAAATAATTTAAGTGCATCTTTAGAAAAACATGCTTATATCCAATTAAACAACATGCATGGACCAGGAGAAACGACGGCTGCATTATTTTCAGTTTCAGTTGAGGAAAATCGCAAAACCATTTTTTGCAGCTACACTATTAAACTGGTCTTTTGATACATTTTGTTTCAACGGGAGTAAAATTAATAGCGAATATCCCCTTTTTAATAACTACATCCACTGACAGGGAGGGTGCTGGACTGCAAGAATTGTCCAACTTTTGAAGAACATCTTCAATCGTAGCTGACAAATCAAACAGACGGGCTGGGAGTTAGAGTTCAGCTTCATCTCCAGCTCTAGCGCTCATGGCCACAGGAATGAAAGAGGGTCGTTCACCAAGTTCACAGCCAGCCAGTCGAGCTTCCCCAACTCTTACAGACGTCTTTCTCCACGAAAGACGTCTGTAAGCTTGAAAAGGATCCCTGTGGGTGAGTGTGAGTCCACATTTTCATAAGATCCACTCATTTACATCTTTATTGCAACTTTTTGAAGGAACGGCTTATTAGACAAAAAGGAAACGGAACAACATATTTTGTTGTTGTTCTTTAGGTTCTCGTTGAAGTTCCAGGGAAGGACGATGTTGAAAAGGGAGACAGATGCCACATGAAGAACAATTAAACTAACTTACTGTGCAAACATTTGCCAATAATGGTCTTAGGAATGAAACATGCAGTGACTCAAAAAGTGCAGCCATTTCTATTTCAATTGCTGCTCAAGGTCAGCAATTGAAATAGAAGTAAAATCCGCTTTTTGAATATAAAATAGAATAGCCAAAAGAGGAAAGTAGGTGTTTTTATTTTTAAACAAAGCTACCACATTTTAGGAAAAATTATCTGTAGTTATTTCCAAGTTGATTATGTATGTATATTTGATACATTTGTTTATATATCTGAAGCACATTCGTATACATACTGAATCTGAAGCACATGTTTCTCTTGCATGTTTTGAAATCGCTAGAAGAAAAAAATTAAATAGTCAAAATTGGAATTGTCAGGTCAGACTTTAGAGAAAACCATGAAGTGCCATTGGGCAGGAAAGTAATGATTGGTTTGGCACCAACGGTTTCAATGTCCTAATCAAGACAAGAATCCTGATTAAAGTATTGAAAATTATCTTTATCGGCTCTGTATCATCTGAATGAACTCAACTATCAATGCCTAGCATCTGACCTGAACAGTTTTTCTTCTAAGAGTTGTTACTTGGAGCCGCACTGAAATATGTTTCAAGCAAAAATGACCAGCAAGCCACACAAAAGTTAGCTTAGAATGGAGCAAACCTCCCCCTGATCATTTGACGCTGTTGTTGTATACGCATCAAAAAGATATTGCTGCCCATGTAGAAACTTATATTGTGCAGCTTCCAAAACATCACAGGCATGTAAGTGTTTATAATGGTAAAACGTAATGTGGTACTTCACTGCACTTCACGTCTACGTTTTAAATTGGGACTGCATGATATCTGGAGAAAACAAAATTGCAGTATTGTTTCTAGATTTTCATGATGATAACTGTTATAAATAATCTACTTTTTCAATGTTTTGTGCAGCTCTATTGATTCTATTGCAGTAATTGGCTCCAACATGCTTTTCTCCAATGATAATTTTTATATTACTCAGATTTTAGGGAGGAGGGACGAGCGACATAAAAGAATTTGAGACATCTTTAGTGTCTGTTGATGTTTTTGTTTTACTCAACAAATTTTGAGTTGATACATTTTTTAAATTTATCAACTCAAACTCTACTTTCTCATTTCTCAAGTATCGCAAAAACACACAGTAGACGCACTCTTCTTGCTAAAAACATTATGACTTGTCAGAAAAGTTTTTTATGAAAAAAAAAATATCTTGAAGGCAATTCAAGTAAAAAAAAAAGACTCATAATGTTTTTATATGATGCCTTTGAGTTATGAGCTCCACTTTTAATACATTTCAGTTTGCTGGCTTCTGCGATGCCTGTCCCTTTATGTCAAATCTCTTGGACATTTGACATGTTGGTACCAGGGACAACAGCCTCAGTGCTCACACAAAACATGAGTGCCACCCAGCACCACTGATGACAATCAGAAAAAGTTGATTTGAGAATCATTAAAACAGTTTTCTTCTTGAGAACAAACGAGAACAAACTAACAATCCACGCACCAGTAAAACCACACAAACGTTAAGAAAGTTTTACTCAAGAGTCGACACGTGTCTCAACTCCTCCGAGAAACAATCCCACAACAACAGCAGCCACTGACTGCAAAAGCCAGAGGAGGAAAAATAAATCTACAGAGCTAAAGGATGTTTCAGAGTCCGCCGACTCCAGATCTGTTTGAAACATCATCACTAAAACCCACTGAAATGCAGAAGCAAGTCGGATCATTTTTGGCAGAGCACATTCATAATGCAGTAAAATCACACAGATGTTACATCACCACTCACCTTTTTTACTGCCATGCAAGAAGAAAAATGTGGCCAAAAGCCAGGGGCCCAACTCTGCTCAGCTTAAGTTATCATTTTTAGATTTAAAAAAAAGTTTGTTTTTACTTACAATTTTGAGGAAAATTTGGTAACATAACATTGTGTACATAGACCTTTCTTATGATTACAACATGAATAAGTAGAACAAATAATCCGTTCTTGGGCTAACCTATAAAGTTGTTCAGTCCCCCAATTATGTAGTTAGAAACCAATCCAATACTGAGTCACTAAAGTCTAATTGCTGCAGACATGATCTTTGATTTATTTATTTATTTATTTATTTATTTATTTATTTATTTTTGTCTTGTATCTGCAACAAAATACTTTAAAATCAACATTTCAAACATGTTCATGTATAACAAATGTAATTTTAGCCTTGCCAATCTGGAAACAAAATGACAATTATTTAAGACAAGAATACTGGGGTATACCTCATACAATACAATTACATTTTGCCAACCTTACTTAGTGGGGTCCCTAAATGTCTGCTTAGTTCTACTATGCCTTCGTCTGGCTGTAACTGTCAGTTCTCATCTATCGACGAACATCGAGCTGTGGGATTTTGTGTTATAAAATTAACTCCGCTGTTAAAATGAACCTGCTTCTTCGCCTGCTGGCCATCAACAAACAAAACTTAAAGCTTTGAGGCCTTTATTTTCTCCAGTTCCTGACCCGGCTCATCAACAGGTGTGCAAACTTCAGCGCGTCTAATCTGATGTCCGTGCATGGAAGCGGTGAGATGAACTTACACGAAAGCGTGGTAGATGAACGCCCAGGTTCTGGGTCTCTCCAGGACGTTGTATAGGTAGTTTTGAAGCCGCCGGTAGCGCACGTTTCTTCGGCCGCTCTGGGCGCTGTACACCAGCGGCTTTCCCAGGAGGCTGAGTCGAGCTCCCTGCTTCCCTGCCAGGCTGTCCGAGCCGCGACCGCCAGCGGCGTTGGTGCCGCCGCTGGCTGTGGTGGTGGTGGCAGAAGGGGACAGCAACCCATCTCCCGCGTTGTTCATCATCATCTTTCGTCCGGACTCCACATCTTTTACGCCGTAGCCCTCGTTATGATGCCTGGGTGATGCTCTCATCCAGAGCCCGCTGCCTCCACCTCCGCCTCCGCCTTCGTCTCCGCTGTGGTTCCTGGGCATGGCATCACCAAAGCTGGCAGCAAGTGCGCGGAGGGTCTCCAATCGTGTCCGATACGCACTACAGTCCTCTCTGCACGTGTGAGGCGCTTAGCTGAGAGCGAGAGCAGCTGCGCCCGACACTGGCCCGGCCCGGCACACTTTCACCGCCCTCTTCCCCCCTTACATCAACATCCTAGTGTACACAAATACCCGGCGCGCCTAAAAGGTGTCCACATGTGGCTGTCTGTTAGTGACAGACCGCAGGGTGTCCGTGCTACAGCGAGGCGAGATTCATGTTCCGCTGCGCTCTGCTCCGCAGCCTGTTGCGAGACAGCGGCAGATGCGCATTAGTTCTGTTCTCTCTGCATCACATTTGTTTCTGCTTTTCATTTAGGAATAAAGGCCTCCTGACTCCAAGTTTCTTTGTTCTCAGGAGGAGGAGGAGAAGGAAGCGCGCCGAGGCTGATCTGATGCAAATGAGTAACCGTCGCGTTTATGCTTATTTCCCACTAAAGTTCCGGACTAAACTTAGAGCCTGTAAATTAATATGCATTTTATTCGAGCTTATGTTTGGTGTAGAGAATTTGCAGCATGCAATGTCAAATATCACACTTTCATTTTCGACCTCGGATTGTATTTATCTTTTAAACAATGCAACACAAAAGTGCTGGATTGCTATTATTATATTTTTTTATATATATTTTATTGCCACGCCACATGTTTGCAGGATGTGATTATGAATGACATCCTCTTTCTGGTTCATTTATTTATGTCGTGGAGTCACTATTAAAATATGGGTTAAAAAAAAAAAAAAAAAAGGCTGTCAAGAACGGAAAACACTTCTTTCATTTGAAGTGAAAGTTTTAGGGGGAAGGAGGCGTCGCGGGGGGAACCTTAGCGTCAGTTATGCCTCCGCGTGTGAACTTCCTCCTCCTTACTCGTCGACGCCGCTTTTGTCGTGTCTGACTGGTTCCTATATTCTCTCGGCATCGACCTGACCTTAATGATCATCGCGTTTCTAAGAAGCAGATCTCACACAGCGTCCTGTCGCAAAAAAAAAAAAAATCAACAACAACGCAGTAATCTGCTTGTAATGAGTGGCGCTCAGGTGCGTTCTGAGTTTATTGCAGAGAAAGTGCAAGAGACGATTCCTCCTCCTGCCGGATTTGGTCTTCTTACGAAACGACGCCATCTGCTGGTGGCTGACTTTCTGTTCAGGCTCCACTGACTCAAGTTTGACAAAATCCCAAGACACCAAGAGCTTAAAAAAAGTGTGTGGGGGGGTGGGGGGGGGGAATCAGTACAACACCTATTCCTAAATTTCGTAAATTCATAAAGATGGCTGCATGTACCTGTACCCTGATTATCACCTTGCAGATTTTGGATTTATTCTGCCCTATTGCCCTTTCCAACACTGACCTGTAATGTTTACCCGACCCCAGAGCTAGGGATAACAGACGATCATTTATTCACCGTCCATGGTTCCCACTGTACATAGGGTCCTCTTCCATAATGTCCTGGGGGGTGAAACAATCCCCAATAACTTGACATTTTCCTCGTCTCCACTGTTTAATCTCCATGGCTTTCGGACAGTCAAAGTTTGAGTCTCCACAGAGTTAACCCAAGGAAATGTCCTCAGCTGTGTAAAATGCTACTTCCTGTTTACCTAATTCCTGCTGTTCATTTTGCCAGTTACTCACCAATCTGTTTCCTTCATGGAGTCTTACCCAGAAGCCATTCCTTTCCAGCTCTCACATTATCGTAGACCGCTTATGACTTTTCAGGTCCAAACCTACTATGCCTGTTACAATTATAGTGTAAGCTGGAGCTGATCAAATATAGCTTACGCTCGCTTTTCACTCTTAAGGTCTATGGAGTCTTTCTGTGGACATTTCCTTCTTTGTCATGTGAATTAGACTAGTCCATGTGTCATTTTCAGCTTTATTTTAAGACACCCAGCTTTGACAGACGAATCTCTCAAGCAGAGCAGTAGAAGTAAACTTAAACGACATGTTTTGGTGCCTGTCGCCAAGACACAGTCTGGCTTCCTGTTCTTACTCCAGCTGTTCAACAAAGTCCCATCCACAATGTTCAGCTCTGCACAGCTGGAGTGTAGATGACACTCAAGGATGCTTCATTTCTCTCGGGACGGTTACGCTGGAGCACATTATGAGCAGCTGACCAAAGGCTTCTGGGGAAAGGCTGACGTCGCTGAGGCCATTAGACGCCGCTGGAGGCTTCTTCAAAGCCATCTGGAGACCCATTACCAGCATCCCGGCACACAAAAGTTTATCAAAGCCATAGACACACCAGGAAATGCACTAAAAAGAACATTGGGGAACCTCAACTGTGCACCAAGATGGAGGTTATATTATGATAGAAAAAAAAACTGCTCATATGTAAGGACCAGAGCACGGCACAGAAGTGAGGTTTGTAGAGGTGAAAGATTTTGTCACTCGAGAATTACATGGCATAGGTCTGGAAAATTTAAACCCAGTCAGAAGACCAACACAGGTAGCTCTATGGTGTCACAAGAAGGACATATTCTTGGCGCTTTTAACGTTATAATTTAGAAGGCTCTTCAAGTAGGGTAATAAAAGAGACCAGTAAAAAAAAAAAAAAAAAAGTCTAGAGGAACACAGATGGTTTATTAGAGCAAAAAACACAAACTTAATGTCACTGCTGATTGTATCTTAAATGCAAGAACCGCCGTATCTGTTCCTGAAACACAGCAACGGATGCTGGTGTTCGGTTTTGTGAGGCAGAAGAATCAGAGGGCTTTTTGTTGAAGTTTTCACCTCCTTTCTCTTGACTGGTATGCCAGGGCGCAAGCCAAGCTGCTGTTATCTTGCTCTCGTGTGGGAAAGAAACGGTGAACTCAGAAACCTTCAAACCGAGGAGACGTCATGTCATCTTTTCAAAAGCGGTTTCCAGAATCACCCCGTCTCACATCTCCATGGAAAACATCAAAACAGTTCAGTGTTTCTTTGAGTCAGCAGAAGGTTTGCAGATTAGGAGCTCTAAGTTTTCATTTGCTTCGTTTAGTTTCTTTGGGAAGAACATCTCGACGTATTTCAGTAAAGCTAAATTTGTGACATGTATACTCCAGCTCTTTCCAAGACTCTCTCTTTCCACTCATGTGGTACTTATGACCTGATTTGATTAATCTTTTTCCATCGAGCGAGATGGAAATTTTATTGTGGCGTCTCTTACATGACATGTGATCAGCTCTCTGCTTTTCCGCAAGGCCCCCATCCATGTGTTGAACCAGAGGGCCGTGACCCCTGGTGCAGCAGCGAAGGGAACAGAGAAGGCCCGGGGGCCCGGCTGGCATGGCAAGTGTGCTGGGAGGATTAGTTAAGATTGCCTGCAGATGTTGTTTCAAGGGGCCCTCTGTTTATTTAATGAGAAGAACATAAATCTCTCAAGCTCTCCGCTGCACTGTATTACATGTTAGGTCACGCATGAGGCCATGAGACTCTGACTTCCTCTATGGAAATATAACAGCAATGAAATAATCAGTAAATGTTGGGGTACAGAGGTGTAATGAGCTTTTATCAACAAACACTGCTGTTTTCAGTCTTGTTCTTGGTTTGTGGCTTGTTGAGAACTATGTGATCTGTTCTGCACTAAAGGATAAATAAGTTTTACTTTGATATTGTTATATATTCATTGTTTATATTTTTTCTGATTTAAATTAGTTCAATAAAAATAAATTAAAATAGGACAGGATGAAAATATGGCAAGTGATATGAAAAAAAAAAACAAAAAAAAAACCTCAGGTAATAAAACCTAAAACCTCAAAACTGAAATTATTGGTTTACCAATGAGCTAGAAGAAAATGCACATAAACTTAAAGCTTAGTTTAGCGGGACAACAATCAACGAGGTAACAAACATCCTGAAAGTGATCTTAAAATGTCAACAGGAATACGGAACTAAAAATGCTTGAACATGACTGAAACTATCATGCCTCCTACTTTTCCCATATGCAAAGGCAGTTTCAACATTTTCTCCCCGTTTAAAGTCTAGAGGAGTTTTTCTTTTTTTCTTCTTTTTTTTTTTTTGTAAAAAAAAAAATATTTTCCCCCAGAGGAGAAAACAATGCTTCAAATGTTAGCTGCATTGTGTAAGGTCAGCAGAAAAGTGTAACGCTGCTCAAGAACAGAATAGTGACTAAAAAGAGAAAAGAATAGCAAGTGCTAAAATTGTGCAACAATTCTTGAAGTGTGTAATTGCTTTGCTTCAGTGACTCATATGAGGGTTAGGCTATATGTGTGTGTGTATGCGTATATACATGCTGCAGCGTTCCCCCAGTGTGCCAGGGTGGAGTCAAATTAATGCTGGTGACATCATTCACAGCTGAGCGGTAATAATAAGGTGGAGACGTGGTGTTGGGCTTCCTCTTCCTGTTCAGATCACATCTAACAAGCACTCAGTTCTCACTTCAGGCCCATTGTTACCACTCTGCCATGCTCCACTCCTGTAGGCTTGTTTTCATGAAGCACTCTCCAAAGCATTAGCCAAAAAAAAAAAAAAAAAAATCTCTCATTTAAGAAAACCCTTAGTTAGTTGACTTACTGTACTTTTCAGAAGTATTCATACCCTTTGCAGCTGTTCACATTTTTCACACACAGTCGTTAATGTACTTTACTAGGATTTTATGTTGAAGACCAGTACAAAGTAGCGTATAATTGTGCTGTAGGTGCATGTATATAGGATTTACGTAAATCCTATATACATAAATGTTATGTATGTAGGGTTTGAAAATCTTATAAAATTTTACACTGATCAACTTCAAAAAGTAAAGTAACAATACACGTCTCATTTTAAAATGACTAAAATTGGCGACAGAACACTTACGCTTGGCAAAAACTCAAACGATACATTTTTTTTTTCCACACATTCGTTTTTTTATTTGTAAATAATAAAAATGAACTTTTTTTATATATATATATATGTATATATATATAAAACATACACATCATTTGAGCCACATCTGTTATACAAACAATAATTGTTGCAGTGAATGCTTTACTATTCTCTAATTTTCTCATTGCTTCAGTGGAACACAGAAGATTGTAAACAATTATCGATTTTCTTTTTTCTCTCTCCTGTTAATACTGACAAAAAGAAGGGTGTTGAGGGAGAGGAGGAGGGGGGGGGGCTTCACCAGACGATGCAAAGAAAACGCTTGTGAAGAGGGATTGAACTTGGCCCTTTCGGGGTTTCAGTGTTCAGACTGTATAACACCTTGTAGCCCATTACCTCGATGCGTCCATCTGCATGGTCCCCAATTGTATGTAGTGTTATTACCACTTAAATGACTTGGCCCCTTTTACAGTAATCGATAGTCGGCTGTTGAATAATATGATTCTCTGTTTATTCGCTGTATAACTTAAAAGCCCACGTGTCACCATATCTGAAATTATTTTAAAACATAATTATCTCCACATAGTTTTGATGTTATTTGTACATATTTAGTATTCATACATCACCTCAGCCCCCTGTGAGGTATACTGTGAAGTGGAATAATAATAATAATAGTAAGAGGGGCTGTGAGCTCTGCTCAGTATGACTGTACAGTACAGTACATCTTCTAGAGGATCAGGGAAAGACATCAGCATAATCTCGGGTTTCAGTTTGAGAGACACTCAGCACCAGACAGAGGGAC